ACTTTGGAAAATACAAAATTTCTAACACCTCTCTCAACAGACATATTTAGAAAACATAGAAATAATTAGCGAAGGCCTGGGTTTTACCGTTCACAAATGAAGGCATCTGCTTCGCTTGCTTCCCCACTCCTCCCCCAGGTTTCTGCACCGCAGAGCAATGGGCTGTACGATTTAGGATGAAAGATGAGAATATCTTCTTTTGGAAAGTAATAGAAGCGCTATGGAAAAACTGAGCGTATTATTAGGAAGACTGATTTAGAAACCAAATAAAAACTGCAGATCTGAAACAAGATTTTCTTAAAATCGTATGTGTTTGCATTTCTCCTGGGAAATGTTTAGGAGCCTGGGCAGTGCAATGCACCTGAAGTGGTTTGAACATCACTGATCTAAATGACTTCAAGGAGTCAAAATCAGTGCAGCCTGGGGTGGGAGAAACAGCATTCAGAGGGAGCTGGAGATTAAAATGCTTGTGATATGTTAGATAGAAAGTGTGTAAATCCACCAAGTCCACATAAAGTATGGCAAACTCCTGCCTGTGCAGGAAGATGAAATGGTATCAAATTCTCTTCAATGGAACAGGGACATTTTTCTTCCCTATATGGTGAAAATAGTACCACAATTATCCTATCATAACTGCTTCCCCCTAGTGACTATGTGTTCAAAATCTTTATGGATAGTGGGTAACTAAAGTACACTGACTGGCAACCTCTCCAGGCTGTAGCTAAAAGTGTATCTGCTACCCAAATTTATTTTCTCAGCTACAGTGAGCATCTGAACCCTTTGGCAATTCTAAGGATGGAATCCTGGGGCAAACTGCATGGAGCTCCAGGCCTTGTGATTGAGAATTGGCCTATTTTAACTTTCTGTGAATGTAGGGGTAGGATGAGATAATACTGTGTATCCAAAACTCTTTGAGTTTTCCAAAGAGTTAGAAAAACAGTAGATATTGACAATTCCTAAAGGAACACCCTTCCCAATACTGTAGATAGCTGTGAAGCAAACCTTCCTTCCTGTACTCTAGAATGAAACTCTACTGGATGAGGTGAGCAGAGTGAGATTCAAGTTTTGTTTTAGTTTGTGTGCTAGTTAGTGGTTGGTTAATTGGTGGGTTGGTGGTTTTTGTTTACAGAAATGGGATAGAAGGTATATTAACATTTTGGAAATCTATTTCTCATCCAGAAAGTACATTTGGATTATCTTTTTCTTGTCATGTAATCTCACTGCAGCTTCTGCTTACCTGTATTGGACCTCATGGCTGAGCAAAATCTGAGTGACAAACAGGATAGGAAGCAAATTTTGAGCTTTAACTTCAGAGCATCCTTAGCATTTATTTCATGACCAACATTCTGAGTCATTTCCAAACATGCTGGAAGCAAAATCCAGATTGCTCATGTAATTCCAAAAAGATTCACATGGAGTAGGGGTTATTTGGGAGAATGGCTTCGTGAGGTGGAAAAGGACCTCACACAGATGGCAGACCTCCTCCTGCAAAGGAGGCCGCCACACTCCTCTCAGCACCCCTAGGTGGGGTGATGGTAGCCATACCACTTCCGAGGATTCACTCCCCACCCCTCCAGGCCGCCTCATTGCCAGAAGAAGGATGAATTATGATTGATAAGTCTGGAAGAAGGAACTGAGCATGCTCAGTTTAGGAACTGCCTTTGCCCTGAGGAAGGTCTCCCTAGTCTGAGCTTTGTCGCAGGGTTGGTGCTTGTCTCAGCTAAGGACTAAGGATACCCACCTTTATCTGGGACAAGAAGGAGAAATTTAGGCATGAGGTGAAGTTCTAACAAACTCACTTAGCTCCAGACTCAAAGCTACGTTCCTTGGTCAGTTATATTTTAATAAAAGTGATATTTTAAATAAAATCACTGACTAAATGAATAGATGAGTGAATATAACACCCATCCACTTGAAGCTGAGTATCAAATCCAGACATACAGGTAAAAATTGGTTCATTCAGGACAGCATCCCTTAAACCATCTTCAAGCAAGCCAATTTTTGTCAAATTTTTCCCTTCTTGCCAACCCAGCTAATCCTTTATTCCGAGGTAGACTAATCATAAATGTTCATTAATTTCCATTGTTAGCCCCTAACATTTAAGCCTTAAAATATGTTCCCTACCAAGTAGGTAAGTGATCTTAACACACAGTTAGGAGATTAAAAGCTTTTTTCAGAAAAACTCTTTGGGTTCTCTTAAGACACAGCAGGTTTATAGTGAATAAAGAGATGATACAGGCAAGAGAGTGTTATCTCATGTGTTCTTACCCCTAACCATACCCGCTGAAGAGAGGAGGAAACCAGGAGTCAGAAAAAGTGAATAACTTGCTCAAGTTTGCATAATCAGTCAGTACCAGTCAGGGTTTGATGTCTCCAAACTCTGTACTTGGCCCACTAGCTCACAATGCCCACATTCATAAAATTACATCCCATCGTGAGTGGAAGGAACCTCGCAGGTCATCCAGTCCAACTTTCACCTACTGTCTATGTCTTCTCAGTGACAGTTTGCCCGTCTTAGTAACAGGATAGGAAGTAACAGGAAGGCAAGTCCCTTCCACTACAGGGCAGCCCACTGCTTCACAAACTTATTTGGACATGACACATCTTGTAGAGTACATCCATTAGCCCTAAATCTGTCTACCCCAAAGAACAAAACCTTGTAGGGAGCAGAGTACCCATCTGTAGATTAAGCACCCCCCTGCTCCTCAGTCATTCCTCACTAACCTTGATCTTAAGCCTTTCCCATCCTCCTAGGAACTTCCTTTGAGCACAAATATTACCCATTACTCATCCAGGGCCTGGATACACATAATACAATTTCAGACAGATCCATGAAGAGCAATGCCAGATTTGAATTACATCCTTATTTTAAGCACTGCTTCACCACTTCCATTGTGTATGTTGTTGGGGAGAGGGGAGAAGATTATTTTTGTGTGTAAGAGCATGTGTAGCTCCCTAGTACTAAAAGAATGTTTCCCAAATTGCATTTCCTGAAACACCAGCTTCCCAGAATAAGTAAACATTTACTTTAACTTAAAAATAGTGATTCTACAAGTGTAGCATGTACTGCTTAACAATCTATGCTGGGAACTATTCAGGTCACTAGAGAGATGCATGCACTGGAAATACACAATCCGAATTCTTTGCTTATGGAAACTACAAGCCAGACAAGAAATATTGTAATGCATATGGACCTTTTGGAAGATTTGCAGTGCAGAATGGCACATCACAGAAGTTCTGATATAAAGAAGTAAATTTCATTTATGTGAAGACACCGCAACTATAGGGTCTTGGTACAATTCCTAGTATCCAGGAGAAAAGTATTCGAGTCATTTGTTTAGGAAACATATGATCACAGCCCTGAGCATAAATTACACTGCCTTCATCCAGTTCCTTCCTATTGTCACTAATGTCCTTTATGGAGATTTTATGACTCAAAAAGAAGCTAAAGAGCAGCCAAAACTTATTATGAGCATGGCAAGCTCAGCCCATAAGAGGCGGGGAGGACTCTGGGGCATAAAGGCTGAGAGCAAAGGGGGAAAGCAGAAAAGAAGGGAATCACTAGGAAGAAAACAGGTGATGCAGACACACAGAACAAATCCTGTCACCGCCAGTCAGGGGAGAGAGCTCAATGGGGTGAAATACCCTAATAAAAGCGTAGATGATCCAGCTCAGCTCCCAGCTGGGTACTGATGACCCAGGTGTCCCGACTTGACAATGAGGCAGAGACAGCCCCAGAAGTATGCGCATTAGATCAGACACTCCACCTACAGTGACGTCAGAATGAGGAAAAAGTAAAATGGACTATGCCTTGGGTTTTGGACAAAAGGCCCCAAAGGGATTCTGGCAGCCACTGGGAGCTTTTCCCAGGATTCTGTGACCTACAGCATCAAGGACACTGGCCCCTTTGCACCCTGGTACAAAGAGTTGCTGAGCTCTACACCCAGGGAGCTCTCACACCGAACTTAATACTTCTATTTCAGCCCTTTCCATTGAACCTGGGCATCCAGGCAAATGGACATAAAGATGGCCTATAAAACTGCGGCTACATCTGCACCCCTGCTCAGAAATTCTTCTAGGTCCTTTGTGCTGACTCCACTAATTTTCCACATCAGTCTTTTGATTTCTTCACCCATCTTAGGCCTCATGTCCCACTGGTCCTCTGTGAGTAGATGATTCCGTTTGGGCTATCTGTGATTGTCATGTGATTGTCAGCACTGGCTCAGCAGCTGAAGACTCCTGCCTCAATGCAGGAATCCCCATGTCCCAAGGCCCCAGCAAATGAGCACCCCAGCACCCCAATACTACAGGCTTTGGTCCCTCCTTCCAATTGTCCCAGGTTCTCAGGGGAGGGAGCATGGCTTTTGAGAATCTTCCTGTGATTGGGAGAGAGGTGATGCCTGGGACCAGACACACTGGCATGGCTGCAAGCCTAGTGGGACAGGGGGACTTGGATTGTGGCAGGTGATTCCGGCCAGCAAGTAAGTCAGCTACAAAGACCTGGGGTCTGTGCAAAAGCCATAGAAAGACAGGAGCCTCTGGGTCCAGTAGAGGGTGAGTTTGGAGAGTGATGTGTTATTTATGGGAGATTTTCACTTGGTGATGGGAAAAGAATGACAAATATGTAACCCAGTATTTCTGTAACTAAAAATAACATGTAAATACCTTTCATAATGAAAACCTTATGTACTGGGAGGCTTTTAGAATAGCAAAGGGCAAGGAGGGAATGGCACGTGTTTTAACCATACGACACGCTATGTACCTTCCACTTGCTTTTGCCCTTCCTTTCATTTTCCTTCTCTGGAAGGTTTCTCACTTCACAGATGGGGAAAATGGGGCTAAGAGTGGTTAAGGAAATTGACCAAAGTCCCATGGTGAAACAGTTTGAAAGTACATCTAGCTGGCTCCAAGAAAGCCTAATCAGCACCTTCCCCAGCCTCTCTCACCCCTCTTCCCTCCCTGCACAAGGACCACAGCTCTGCATCCCTGCCCGCACTGACCTGCACCTCCCGTGTCAGGGCCAGCTCCAGCAGCTGGCTGAAGTGCTGGCCCAGGGTGCTCAGGGTCTCGCTCACGCAGGCCTTCATCGACCTCAGGACATGCTCATTCTCCACCTGGAGGCACCTGGGGAGAAGAAATCATGGGTGGGCTTGGGGAAGGGACACATGGTCATCCTGGAACTCCTGCTGGGACCAGATACGGACCTGTTCTGAGCCTGGTATGTGCAAAGAGGGACTAGGGGAAGAATCAGAGAGGGAGTGTTCTACAGCTGGCTCATCTCCCACAGAGAGGTACTGGCTGGAGATGCAGATTCTTGGAACCTGTCACTAGGAAGTAAGGTCTGGAAAAGTGGCAGATCCAGATCCCTGGGCCTCTCCTTCAGACACTCAGCCATCACTGCAGCCAAGGTTTATGTTCTCAGTGATGTCAGGATGGGGACACCAGGGTGGGAAGCTGTGAAGTGGGCACTGGAGTGCTAGGGATAGCTAGTGCTCATGCTGAAGATGTGAGGCAAGGCCTGTGCCCCTTTGAAAACTGTCTTCCCTCATGTGCAGGAAGCAGCCTGGGGACGTTCATCCCACCAGAAGAACATGGACAGTCAGGTTCAAGTTCACCCCCGCGGCCTGCCAGTGTTCCATCCAGGAAGGCCAAAGACCCCACAGAGCCCCCAGTGGTGCCAAGATCCAGTTCTGTCCTCTGGGACAGGACAGACAAGGGTGAGGCAAAGTATAAATATAAGCCCAGGAGTGTGTACATGTGAAGTTGAGTGTGTGAGCACACATCTGAGTGTGAATGAATATATGTTTATGTGTGTGAAATACAGAGAAGAGCATGTGAGTGCATTTCTGTGATGGAGTGAGTGTGTGTTTACATAGCTGTGCATGAGCCCATGAGTGTCTGTGGACATCTGTGTTTATGTGCATGTGTGTGTAAGGATGTGAGTGTCAGCTTTCACCTTGCCTTGACTCTTGCCTTGACTCTGGGGACAGCGGGGGTTTTCTGAGGCTGTGAGAACCGGTTCCCTGTTACCAACTCCCTGAATATCCTCTTTTCTTTCATGCACAGGTCTTTCCTCTGCCTTTTATCTCACCCCGAGGGCCTCAAACTGGGACAGAAAATCTCAAAGGAATTTTTTGAGGCTTCTTGAAAAAGTTAATTAAAGGAAACTCCTGGCCCACCACTAGGCCTCCCTGTTCTCACTCCCACCCTTCCCAGTCACAGGATGAGGGGCCAGCCCTGGGGCCCAGGGTCCACATTTACCTCTCTGTGACTGCAGAGAGCTCTGAACATTTCTCCATTAGCAGCTTCTCAACCTGTAGGAAAATAGATCAATGCCATTCAGTTCAATAAGCATCAGCTCAGGGCCGGCTGCTGTGCTGGGCAAGCTGAGGCCTAAAAGTGGAGAACCAAGCGATCCAACTCGGGGAGCAGGCATTAACCTTTAACACTGCGATGTGGGTGGCAAAAGAGATCAGTGGCTTTGGAAGCACGAGGAAATAAAACTGAGCAATTAGGTGTAACAGGGCGTCTGGGAAGCTCTAAGACGGAAGGGTCAGTCTACCACTAAGTTGATACGCGCCGTCATCTTGCAGCTTCTCACCGTGGTGGTGCTTGCCTGAAAGGCTGGGCAGGTTAAATGAAATATGTGTGAAAAGTATTTAGCACAATGCCTAACACATGGAAGACACTCGGTAAAGGTCCTGACGGTCTTTTTCCTCCCTGCTGTGTTGGAAATGGGGGAGAGCTGAAGGCCAGGAAAGGTTCGGACTCCACACATCCCCGCCGGAAGGCACCGTCTCACCCAGCACCCACTCAGCCCCACTGCAGGGAAGCTGACCTGGCCCATTTCCTGCGAGGGGCTCCTGCTGGCTGCACTGTACTCGCTGACCATGGAGCGGGCGTGGCAAGTCAGCCGCACACTCATGCTGTGCACGCGGGCCCAGCGGTCCTGCGCCAGCTTCTGCCCGATCCTGCGCAGCTCTGTGCTGATGACCCAGCCCCGCTTGAGCAGCAGCTGCAGAGGGTCTCCGGGGCCGGGCCCTCCCGCCAGGATGAGATCACCCTGCGTGTCCTCCTCCAGGCTGATGGGTTTCGCCTGCAGGATGCACATGCACTCACACTCGGTCATGAGCTTCAGGTCCTCCATCCAGCGCTGAACTGAGTCCGCCTGCAGGAGGTGCAGCCTGCGGGCGGGAACAGCGGCAGAATGACTACCAAGTTGCCACCCTTGCAGAGGTCTTAATCCCATTCCTTAGGATGTTTACTAAGCATCTATACGATCCCAGACTATCAGATATTTTACTAAGCATCTACTGTATGCTCAGTTCCTCCCATTCATGAACCTTAAATACTACTCTCTTTATCTCTGTCTATCTCACAGGTAACAAGGCTGAGGCACAGAATTCTGGGAGTAGATGTCCAGACTAATAAACAGCTGGTAATGAGGGCTGGCAGAGTAGTCGAGGACCTTTATGATAAGCAGGAAATGGAAGTAACCTAGATGTAAAATAATAGTTACTTAAGGGAGCTATGATACAGCTTCATGGTTATATAATATGCATTTCCTCAAAATAATGCTCACCAGGAAGTTTATAGAAAGGGAAATGGGTACTAAGTAGAGAAAGCAGTATATAAAAATGTAAACATAAACAAAAACTACGCCAATAATGATAAAAAGCCATACCTAGAGAAAGGGCTTAAAAGGAAGACTTAAAATGCTACAGATCTTTGTGGGTGATGAAAATAAAGCGCTTTTTCCTATTCTTCAATTTTTTGCTAATTTTCAAATTTTCCATAGGGAGCATAGGTACCACTCTTGTAATGGAACAAAATTCACTCTATTTAGTACATAGCACCAGAACATAGATTAGATTCTAAGATCATAAATAAAATCCACTCTGGAATTCACTTAGTCAAATAAGTCAGTAATATCAGATAATTAATGAGGCACTGAACACTCAGTGAGTGCCGTATATTTAAATTCCAGGCACAGTAGGAAAAGTGGAGATGAAGACATCCAGTCTCCACTTTCCAGGAGCTTTCAGCCTGCACAAAGAAGCAAGGCCAGTAAATGAGAAAGCAAAAGACAATGATAGATTTCACCATCATTCCACAACCAGAGAAGATGCACATAGGTAATCACTATACTCCACAATGCATATAGGTAATCACCAAACTCTGTCTTCAACTCCAGCTGTCTTCTGATTGGTCTTCCTGTGCCTGATCTGTATCAAGCCATTCTCCAAGCTGATGCTTATTCATTCATTGATTCATTCATTCTACAAATAGGTACTTGGTACCCACAGTGCACCAGGTAATGTTCTCAGACCTGAGTTATAGCAGCAAACACTTTCCTTATGAGCGTTACGCTCAAGTGAGAGGACAGTTGATTAAAGAAACAATGAATGTGCTGGAGCTAGGAAGCAATGTATGTGATGCTAGGAAGGAAAAGAATACAGAAAAGAAGTCTGGGGAGGGCTTAGATTGGAAGGAAGCTGGCTTTGCTGTTTCAAATAAGTGGATTAAAGAAGGCTCATTGAGAAAGGGACATTTGGGGAAAGAGTTGGAGATGAGGGATGGAGCCATGTGAAAATCCAGGGGCAAATTGCCACAGGGAAAGAAAACAGCAAGTGCAAAGGCTCTGGGGCAGAATTACCCTCAGGATGTGTGAAGAATAACAAGATGGTCAAAAGAGCTGGAGAAGTGTCAGAAGAGATGAGAGACAAGCTTAGAGTGACGGAGGTAGGTATGGGGTAGACCTTAAAGCTGTGTAGGAAAAAGTAAAGACTTGGCTTTTGTTGAGCTCATACAACAAACAAAAAGCACTGATGGAGCCTATCCAGTGGAGCAAAGATATCAGGTAGGATTGAGATGATAGTCATACTCGAATTATCAAGGTTAAGACTGCCTTCATGCTGATGGCTATTTAACGAGAAGGAGCAGGCCTTCTGGAAAGATGTCATTTGACTATCACATGCTCTACAACTTTTAAGCACAACACTTACCATGTTTAACCAAGGAATCTGAACTTGCGATTTTGTATATAAAATTGCGTTTCAAGCTATTAAAAATAAAAACTTGACCAATGACCTTTCTCTTCATGAAAATAGCTATTCCATGCTGTAAAAAATTGTGAACATGGTGGTTTAGGGCTGAAATGTTCCTCCAAACGCTCGTATGTTTGGACACTGATTAGATCATCAAGGTGCTGTGCTCATCAGTGGGTTCATCTACTAATAAGTTCCATAAGTAATTTGCTGCTAGGAGGTGGAACTTGATGATGGTGGGTCACTGGAGTGACCTGGAAGGATCTATCGTCCTCCCTGGCTCCTCCTTTCACTCTGCTTCCTGGATGCCATGAGTTGAGCACCTTTTCTCCACTGTGTGAAGTAACGCTCTCAGGCCTGAGCCAAGTACCTCTCTGTATGCTTTTTTTACCTTGGAGCCAGCCATGGTCTGAAACCATGAACCAAAATAAACCTTCCCTTCTGTAAGTTGTGGGTGTTGAGTATTGTATCCAGTAACAGGAAAGTGACTAAGATAGTGTACATATAGGCATGTGTTGGGGTAGGGGTGGGTTCATCTGAAATGTGAAATCACAGTGCTGTGCTTCCCCTTCTATGTTATAAACTCTCTTAGTCTTACACACGTGGAACCATATCACATGCACCATTTGACTGTAGGCATTCCTAGTCTTCTACAGGCTATTATCACACCCTTATCTTTGCCTTCTCCCTTGGCCAACTCAAGGTAACATAGTATGTATCACTCCATATTTTTTTTTTTTGCTTTCTTACATTCTTACACAACTAACTGCACATATATTTTTAGGGTTTCCTGACCCATATCATAAATATGATCACAATATACACATCTTGCTGTATTATGACTTTCAAACTCAGCATGGAAATCATCCCAACTTACACAGTAGAATTATAAAGTATTTTTTAGATATCTGAAATGTCTGGAAATGATTGTTACCACAATTTATTAAACTACTTTCCCATTGGTGGATACTCACTTTGTTTCTAGTTCTTGACCACTATAAATAATGCAGTAATGAACATCCTGTTATCAGTGTATTGCACATCAGTATCTTAATTCTATGCTGTGTCTCCCTGGGAGTAGATTGTATTCCGTGGACGTTGCCATATTGGCTTCCAAAAGCAATGATGCTTCACAATCCCCCAATAATGTATTTAGGACTTTCTACATTAAAATATGTTGCTCCCCTGCTTAAATTCTTCAGTGTCCCCCAGGGCACTGTTAAAAACCCCAGAGAATAGGAAGGGAGGTTTCCTATCCTCTGGGATAGGAAGGCCTGGTCCCAGCTTCCCATTTCACTCATCTATTTTTTGCATATTCTCCCAACTCTCAGGATCCCTATCATAAACACATTCCAGTCACACTCTACCTCCTTACTTCCCAAATACATCACTTTCTTTCACAATCCCCTGTAGCCTCAAGTGTACCATGTATTGCACCTTTCCTTTTTCCCTACCTGACATGCTCTTATTTGTTGCACAATACCTATCTATGAATGTGTTACCTTCTCTGAGAAGCCCTGAGCAGAGCTCACCAGCCCCTCCCTGAGGTCCCTGCATCCTTCACTGGAGCACTGATGATGCTATATGTCATTGATGTTTGCTTGAACTCTCTAAAGTCCTGTGGGAGACAGTCTCTTTTACTGGTTTATTGGCAGTGCCCAAGTATATATTAGTAATTCACTTAATGCATGCCAATAAACCAGTGGGCAAGTGTCTGTCCCATATTGCTCCACTTCTCTACCTAAACAGAAGATTCCCTATGCCTGCACCCTCATGGGCTATCCAAGACTGACTTGATGAGGACAAGGATATAGAGATGGAAAAACGTGATCACTGAGTCCTACAGACACCTGGGAGACACCTGGGATACATACTGGGGCTTAAGAGGCAAAAAACAATTGAGTTGGTCAGTGAATCACTCACTCCATAAACACTTTGCAGTAGACATCTGTTGCTTTGCCTTCCAACATCTCTTCCTCGCTATTTGTCAGTAGCAGAGAAAAATTCCATTAGCAACTTCCTGAGGCAGTTGCCTGCCAGCAGCTTCTCCCTTCTCTTTTAAAATGTCCCTCCTCCCAAGCATAGGTGATTCCCAGGAGCCAGGTTTGGGCCAGGTGAATGTGTCCCTGTCCATAGGTGTAGGTGGATCCAGGGATAAGCTCCTAACCAAGCTGCATGTATCCAATTCCCTCTCCAAACTGTGACACTTAGAGCCAAGAGTTGACTCATAGAGAGTGGTGTTGGTGTCCATGGGCCATATTAATTATGGCAGCTATTTAGTTCTTCCAGGGAAACCTTCATAATCATTTGGGAAGTGAGGACACAAGTCCATGGGTTAATTTATCTTGATTATAAACAAATTAACCATTTCTAAAACATTAGCACAAAAGTGACTAAGCAGATTTGCCACTCCTTAGAGTAAAGATCTTCAGGGAACTCAAGGGAGGGAGCTGTCCTTTCCAATTAGAGCTCAGGAAAAGGCACTTGGAGAAGCTGGCTGTGGAGCAGAGTATAGTTTGGACACATCAAGAGAGTGGAACCATATTCCAGGGTGTAGAAGTCACAGACACAAAGAAAAAGTCCCCCAGACTAAAGTTTTACATTCCACAAGAGAGAAAACAGTAAGGAGGAAAGACAGAAAGATGAATCAGGGCCCTGATCTTGAGAAGCAAGGATGTCAGGGTAGGGGCAAATTATTTACCCTGCAAAGGCTGTTGAAAAGTGACAAGGCAGCATAACAGAGGAGGTGACTGATGATATTGAAAAATGGCTAAATCACAGTACCTGGGGCTAGCAGTTGACACAAAGAAAACTCATGTTCTGGAGCCAGAGCTCTAGAATCTTCTGAATGAATACTCACATCCCCTTACCACTGACCTAGCAGGGCATCTTAGATTTCTGTGTCTGTGACAAAATACCTGAGGTAACAACTCCTGAGGAAGAAAGATTTATTCTGGCTCATGGTTTCAGACATTTCAGTCCATGGCTGCTTGGCCTCATTGCTTTTGGGCTGATGACAAGGACCATGGTATAGGTTCAAGAAAAACCTCGTTCACTTTACAGTGGCCCAGAACAAAAGAAGATGGAGAGACCAGGGTCCCAATATCCCCTTCAAAGACATGCCCTCAATGACCTCA